GGTACCCGATCCAGGAACATCTAACATGTGAACATTCGAATGTAATATATTTAATTTCATGCAAGAAATGTCCCAAACAATATGTAGGAGAAACTAAGAATAATTTACGAACTCGCTTTAATGCTCATAGGTCAGACATCAAATTAAAGAAAGACAAGCCTGTTTCTAATCATTTCAACCTCGACGACCATTCAATAGACGATCTCACCCTAATCCCAATTGAGCGTATAGAAATTGACTTGCCCGAAGATGAAACTACCAAATTCCCTCAATCTAGGGAGGCCCATTGGATTGAGACATTGAATACAGCAAGACCTATAGGACTAAATATTCATCATAATGTAGGCATAGCACCCTTTGTTGTCCCGTTTAATACAACCAGCAATCGAGCAAGCAAGATAGTTCATGCCCACTATAAGAGCCTTCAAGAGAAATTCCCCCATGTCTATAAGCAGAAAATGATAGTTGCATATTCAAAAAATAAGAACTTAAATGATAATATTGTTCATAGTAAACTAAAAACAATCAGTACATAACAGATACTATACTTCTCGCCCATCGGGCGAGTTATTTTTTCTAATTTCAGATCAAAATAAGAACAGAAGAAAACCCAATATCAAGACCCTTAATCCTAATTTCTAAATAAAGTGTCTGCTCCACCCTAGGCCTGTACATTTGGGAGAATGAAACCCTCCCTTCCCCGAAACCTAACTTCAGTAGTAAAAAGATGTATATATTTTATAATATCCTAAACCTACCATTACCCTAACTTCAGCAGTAAAAATATGTATATATTTTATAATATCCTAAACCTACCATTATCCTAACTTCAGCAGAGTGCTAGAGCTTTCAATTAGGTCGTATAGGGGATTCCCCATTTCATTTCATGGGGAATCAGCAACCTAATAGAAAGCTCCCATAAAGACCTAAACATCCTACATTTCATAAATTCTTACACCTATATTCCCTATATTTCATAAATTCTTACAACCCTTACACCAAAAAACACCTTCAATCAATTTCCTACATTCCATATTAAAATGTTCTACTCAAATTTTAAACCTTAAAAATGACAAATAAAATACTAGATCCAATCTTTAGATTATACGATCCAATTCGTTATTCATTTAACAAGAAAAAAGAGGATTATATTATCATCTCACCCACTGTTGGTTCTAAATCCCAATTGAATGATGGTGGTAGAATTACCTTCGAAATAAATTCATTATCGAATTGGTTGCTTCTTTCCGATGCTTATTTCAGACGCGATTTCAAAATTAAAGAAGCCACTCAGAATCAAGTTCCACAAACAAATACAACGTTAGAAAACAATTTCTTTCCATCTTTATTTAGCGAGATGATTTTGGAAGCTGGTTCAAATCCGATAGAAACAATCAAACATCCTGGGAATTCGACACAATGTTGAAAACAGTTTTATATCCTAAAGATTTCGATTCAGTCTCAGGTTGGATACCCGATGTTGGTGATGGAAGTATTTTAAAAGAACCGGTAAGAAATCTTGCAAATGATGCCGATTTAGCTAGAGTGAGAGTTGTTGCTCGAAACACGATAGAAAGAGTAGGACGAGCAGTTAATCATGGATTCGAAAAACGAGTACTTCAGTATAATAATGTTGTTGAGAATAATAGGTGGGGTAATTACGTAAATTGGAAATTATGTCCTTTATTCGGTCTGTTGGAACATAGAAAAGTTTCTATAGGCTTACCATATAAAATTCAGCTACAAAGAGAAATAAACGACGATAAGATATTCTTTGGAGAGAATGGTTCAGATGCAAAATTAGAAATAACGAATCTCCAACTTTTCATACCCGTAATAACACCATCAATTGAAGTAGAAACGAAAATATTCAACTCGTTAACTAAAGATATTGAAATAGCTTTTCTTCATCGTAACACTGTAGGTAGCATGACTTTAACAGGAGAATCCACCACATGGCCAATCACTAACACTATTAAACTAGCAAGATATTTAATAGTTGGTTTCAAGAACTTACCAGATTCTCAAACGAATAACAATAATGTCTTTAGAGTGGCAATGAACCAAACTCAAGATCCTTTAATCCATAAAGTTCAAGTAAGATTAAATAACAATAATTATCCTAACCAACCTTTAACAATTAATCCAACCACAAAGGATTATAATGAATTGTATAGAAACTATAAAAATATGTGTGAATTATTCGGAAATCTACCTCAGTTTGAATATGTAGATATTGCACTTAATCATCCAATCTTCTGTTTTGATCTTTCAGCTCACCAAAAAGATCTTTTCAAAACAGGAGTGAACATAAATATTCATATTGAAAAAACACAAGGAGATGTAACAGGTTATTGTTTATTATTGGAAGAAGCAAAACATTTAATTAAAATAGCAGATAGAAGAATAAGAATTGAGTAAAAAATACACCTTTAAAAATGAAACCAGAAACTTTAGTCAAGAAAATAATAGAAGCTATTGAAACAGCTTGACCAACTACAATAACTTATAATGGTAAAAAAATCAGCATAACTAAAAAACTTATTGATAAATATAAATATTGTAAAGTCAGAGACGATATAGACTTAGAAAGAATTGAAGCAAATGCAAAAGAAGGTGGATTTTTACCTCTCCTTTCTTTAATATTTAGTGGACTTACCGCGGCGGGTCTAGCAACTGGTGGGATATCTGCTGCAGTAAGTTCTGCCAACGAAAAGAAAGCTGCAATTGCAAAAGCTGCTGCCGATGAAAAGAAAGCAATCGAAGAACATAGACATAACATCAGGAGTGGGAGAAATGATACGCACAATAAAAGAATTTGGAAAAAGATTTGGGGAAGAAACCAAGAAAACTGTTAAACAAGGATTAAATAAATTAGTAGATAGTATTGACACAGGAGAAATCAAAGTCAAACAAAAGGTAATGGAATATTTTTATAAAATATACACACTGGAGAAGGAATATATCTTTCAAAGTATAAAGGGGAAGGAGTGATTTTTGGAACAAATTAAAATAATAAAAAATGGGTAAAAAATTTAATCATTCAGAAATATTTCCTAATAACCCAATGCTCATGTGTATATGCGGTAGTTCCGGTTCTGGGAAAACTCATCTCACTTTTAACATGTTGACAACACCAAACCTTTTAGATTTCGATTCTTTGTATACACAACAACACCAGAGCAATCGTATTATCAATTTCTCAAAACTTTAGAATATCTATCAAAGAGAGATGTTCAAGACCTATTTCAATATTACAAAGAAAACGAAGAAAAAGTGGAATTGAAAGATTTCATAGATAACTACATCGAAGGAAAGAAACCAACGGATATAAAAGTTTTTCTTACGAAAAATGTTAATGATCTAGATTTGTCTCAAATTGATAGCGAGCGAAAGAACTTAATGTTGTTTGACGACTGCGTGGCGCAAAGAAATCAAGCCGTTCAACAAGAATTCTTCACGAAAGGAAGACATCACAACTGTCACTGCATATACCAATCCCAATCTTTTTACGGGATGGATTCTATGTTCATTAGAAAAAATGCAAATTGTTTTTTATTATTTGAATTAAACGACAAAGATTTATCTCAAATCGTTCAATCGATAAATCACGGAATGGACAGAGATGCATTTAAAAAGGTTTGTAAAGCTCAATGGAGATATCCAGATGATCATGGATTTGTATTTGTAAATACTAGAAAACCTGCGGGTGAAAGAGTTATGAACGATATATGTTAATTTTATTTTTTTAAAAATGGATTGGAATAATATTTTAAAAAGAAATAGAGAAAATATCAAAGCTAAGAATAAAATAAAGACCCAAGTTGAAAATAACAGATTACAACAACTAGGATTAACGGAAAATCTACAGACTCTATTTCAACCCATATTAAAATCTCAAGAGGATATTAAAAAGAGACTCATCCCTCCAATAGAACCTACACCTCCTATAGAACCTCATCAAAGCCATTGAATATAGTGGTGTTAAAATTAGGACATTAGATGATATAAATCGTCTTTTTTCGAACCCTGACCCAGATTTACCAAAGGGCATTTCACCAATCGTTGATAATCAAGGTTTATTGTTTAATGGATTTAGAATTATATTTAGTGGAAATTCACCACAATTCAAAATCGACACAAAAGATTATATATACACATTAACAAAAGGATTAATAGATTTAATGAATGGCGAGGATGTTGAAATTGCTGATTACCAGGATTTAGTAGCATACTCGAAATTTCTACATGCGATCAGAAAGTCAGGACCCGAAACAAGAAGATTGAAAGAAGTTGATTTATATATAACAAAAGTTATTGAGCAAGATGTAGATGATTATGCAGAAGATTATCCAATCATACAAGAAATAGACGAATTCGATGATATGGTGGCATCTGGACAAGGTATAACTTTTTTATCCGACAACAACGAGGAACTAGTTAATAGATTAGAGTAATATTAGCGGCCATGGAGGAAGGTCATCGATCGGACGGACAATACAACGAAGTCAATGGCATATCAAAACGACTTTTGGAGAAAAAAATCATCACTAAAAAAGACGTCATTAAAAATGTCCAATAAAGAGCAATTGTTCGTTATCACCTCGAATAAATCAGACATCAAATTGTCTCTAGATTACGAGTATGAACTCGATCGCAATAAACAGTACGAACTGGGATTAAAGTATTTCTCCGTTTACAATTCCATTAGAAAACTCCTCTACACCTTTGATTCACAGTTTATATATATTAATGTTTATTTTCAGATGAGCACCATTAAAGGGAAAGTTTTGTATGCACCCAAAACTAGAGGGTCCAATCAAAAGGCCACATATATAATTACTGATAGCACGGTGGTGCAAGTGTTTTTCAAGAACACTACAGTAAATGAGAACATAAAATCAGGGAAATTTGTCACCATCAAAAATGCCAAAAACAGCAGTAAGGACTGCTATAGGTTGGATGAATCTTCACAGGTATGTTAAAAACACAAAAAGTTCCTTGACAATTTTCACTTGATATGGCTGTATTTTGGCTTGCCAAAAAAGTTTACTCCAATTTAATTCTTACTGGTAATGATAACAGCATCAATTTGGTCCAAATCTTGTACACCTGGATATGAAACACTGGTTCCATCACATTTTACATTTTAACCATTAACTGGATTCTGTAAGAGACGAAACAATGTTAATAGTTAAGGAGAGCCTGTAAGATAAGATAATATTCGCCCACTGGCAGCTTTTATTTTAAACAAAAATATTTGACAGTAACAATCACCATTGTGAAATATTCAATCTTCAGCGCGGTACTGGATAAAAAAAAAACAAGTTTTGTCAAAATCCGCCAAGAATAATGCCTTTTAGTGTTTAAGAGCTAAAATTTGAAAGCGTTTTCAAGAACGACGTCAATGACTCCTATGAAAAATATTTTTTTTTATTTTCGATAGGGTTCATCCATGGGTAATACTAAACAATTTCACCAAGTTTCATTAAAATCTGTCAAGAATTGATCCTTCTAGAATGTTTACAAGCTAAAAATTGAACGAGTTTTCAAGAACAAGGGCAATAACTCATACAAAATATTTTTCAATTTTCTGATTTTCCCTAGGCTTCATCCTTTGGTGATTAGGAACATTCATACCAAGTTTCATCAATCCGTCAAGAATTGTGCCTTCTAGAGTTTTTACGAATTAAAAATTGAATGAGTTTTCAATAACAAAAGCAATACTAAATATTTTTCGATTCTTCTAATTTTCCATAGGGTTCATCCTTGGGTGATAATAAACGATTTCAGCAAGTTTCGTCAAAATCCGGAAAGAATTGTGACTTGTAGAGAGTTTACGAGTAATTGTGGACGGACGGACTAATAAATATTAGTGATGAAATAGGAGTGGACTTTGCATTATTTGCCTAAGAATTCCAAACAAAGGAATAGAGAATGGAAAGAAATAAACCTTAAAAACTACAAACATAATACAACAGTGATTGGTAATGGCTCAGGATCCATCATTCCCTGCAAAAGACCGTGTATAGGTCAAAATGTTGACAGTAGTGACTTCCTCCCATGCTCAAGCTGTTATAGTTTCTATAAAAAGAAAGACCTTTGGAGACATGCTGCTCATTGTGGTAAGAAACAGTGTACAAATAGTAAGGCGAAGAACAGACACCAAGCAGAAGGTGCTGCATTGTTACTAGCTCAATAAGTATCCGGTCCGTTCCGGAAGGACATATTAGATAAGATGCGAAATGATAAAACTTCATTGATCATTAGAAATGACAGAACAATTTGGAGTTTTGGTGAAAGACTGTATAGCAAGTGTCAAGACAATCCCCACCAATATAACTATGGCAGACAAAAAATGAGAGAGATTTTTAATGATAAGAAAAACTGTCAACAACATTAAACATTTAAAAGAATGCTTCAGGTCTGTATATTCTAGCAAAGTCCTTGATAGTCTGAAGAAAACTGCTGGTTACAATGAAGAGACAAATTCATATGATACCATGATTCTCTTGCGTTAAAAATTGTGCAAATATTGTCAAGGTCAAAGCTCTTGAAGAAATGGACGAGACAATTCGTACTGAAACAATAAAATTTTTGGAAATGCTGGAAAGTGAATGGAGCATATCTATTTCCACACATGCTTTTAACACCCTTCATAAAAGAAAATTTAATAATCCAATAACACGATTACCTCTTGCCGCAGATCTTAAATCGTTGAATCTATATATAGATGAGGAAGGTAAAGCCGCGTTTGAAAGTAAATCAAATACAACTCTGGATAATTTAGCAGAGATTGTTCTGGTGCAGTTGATATTGTTGAATAGACGTCGTGCTTGAGAAGCTAAAAGAATCGAGGTTAGCCAGTATTCACACGGGTTAAAGGTCGGTGGAGATGTTCAAAAGGATAAATATAGATCATTGTCTAACTTTGAGAAGAAATTAGTTGAGAAATTAAATCGGGTAGAAATAAGGGGAAAAGGGGAAGAAGGGTGCCAATATTAACAACTCCTTTAAGAAGCTCGGACATACTAAGAAACTTTTCAAACCCAGATTTTCTTACATCAACATCACTCGGATTCTTGGGCCATAATATAAGGGTCCACAAAGAATTCTTTCGTCTACCTGAAAGCACAATTCAAATCGCAAAAGTCAGCAAGGTGCTACTGACATTGGAGAAGGGGGCAATTGGTGACTTTGAAGGAAATCGCTCGAGGAAATCAATATTGATGGTAAATATATTTTTTTGACATCAAACTATCATAAAGGAAGACTGAATTGTGTTAGATTAAACATGTAGTATGCTGCATCTGTTTTCTTAATATTTGTTATCTGATGTTTAAGTTTTGCCTAAAATATTTTCCAGATGGGTTTGAATAAGAAGAAGATGTAGAGAATTCTGTAGACATGGGTTGTGTTAT